AAGAGTTACCTCACGTATTATGGGCCTACCGAACTACAGCACGACGCCCCACAGGAGAAACACCTTACTCTTTAACCTATGGAATGGAGGCCATCATCCCACTCGAAGTATGTCTCCCAACCCTTCGGTCTGAATTATTTGAAAGCTCCAGTAATGAGGAAACTATCGCACAAGCACTGGATATCGCAGAGGGCCGAAGAGAGGCAACGCTGATCAGACTTGAAGCATATCAGCAGCAGCTCATCAGAAGTTTCAACCAAAAAGTTTTGCCAAGGCAATTTATACCAGGAGAATTGGTTTTGAGGAAAGTCATGGATCACAAACGGGTGCCTGGTGAGGGCAAACTTTGGCCGAACTGGGAAGGTTCCTATAAAATCACAGCCGTTGTTGGAAATGGAGCTTACTACCTAGAGGATCTGAATGGCAAAGCAATACCTCGGCCCTGGAACGTAGCAAACCTCAAGAAATACTATCAATAGAATCATCCCCTAACTTCTCTATCAGGATGTAAAGGCACTTATTTATTGACCAATGCAAATGTTTTCCCATTCCTCTCAGATTTATCCAATTCTTGTAATTAGCTTTGATGTTTATCAAATGGAATAAGCTTTGGCTCCCACCAAACGGAATCAGCTTTGGTTCTTACCAAACGGAATTAGCTTTGGTCTCTACCAAATGGAATCAACTTTGATGTGTATCAAACGGAATTAGCTTTGGTCTTTACCCAACGGAATTAGCTTTGATGTTTGTCAAGCGGAATTAACTTTGGTTTTAACCCAAATGGCTCAGTTTCAGAACGACTGAACGAAATTTAAATTTGGTTAGCACTCAAACATGCTAAGTGGTATAGCTTGGTGGAAAAATGTTTGGCAACTAAATTGGAATTTAGCCAAGTGGAATTGCTTGGTGGAAACCGCACTAATGTATCTTAAGTAAACATCTTTATTTAGCCAAGTGGAATTGCTTGGTGGAAACCACACTAATGTATCTTAAGTAAAATATCTCTATTTAGCCAAGTGGAATTACTTGGTGGAAGCTACATTGGCATATCTTAAGCACACATCTTTGCACCTACAGAACTTCTTAAGTATCAGCACATTAACACTTCAGTATTGATTCAAACCAGCAGAGTTGGAACAAACTCAACTGAGCTACGTCAAGAGCAAACTTCTAGCATCAGCCTTACTTAGCTCCAGCTGGGGGCAAACAATCGTTTTTTTTTAAAACCTACCTGGACCTGAGTAAGACATTCCTTTTTTCATTTCTCTCATTCAAATGCACTTGTACTATCACAGTCGAAACAGACTCAAGCAGTTCTATACAAGGGACAACTCTTCAGTATCGATCGTACTTAGCTCCAGGTGAGAGCAAACAATTGTTTTCTTTCGAAACCAGCCTGGACCTAAGTAAGACCCACTTACGAACTCAAAGCACAGCCATACCACATATCCGTTAGCCACGCCGATCACTAGTTCGGACCCGAGGTCTTAACAGTGCTCGGCTGGGGGCAAATAGTGCAGTGCCACACCGAGCACCAGTCCAGCCCCAAGGCCCCAACAGCGCTCGGCCGGGGGCAAGCAGTACAGAAATTAGACAGAGCATCTATTTAAAGACAGTATAGAATCAGACCGAGCACTTATTCGGCCCAAAGGTCCCAACAGAGCTCGACCGAGGGCAAGCAGTATAGAATACATTCAAACATAAAAGCCAAACAGCATCAAATTGCAAGTTCAAAGAGAAAATTATATCATCCAGCAAAGGGCACAGAAGGCCTCACAACCAGCAGCCAAAAAAAAAAAAAGAAAAGGAAAAATAGTCTTGACAAAGTGAAGAAAGAAAGCCCGTCATGGAAACCAAGCCACAATACACCAAAATAGAAAAGCAAAAAGTTCAAATCCTTTTAACATCAATTTTCATCAACAGCGGGCAACTCAGGAGCAGTATCAGCAATTTTGTCCAGGCCATCTGCGGGAGGAAAAGTAGAGGAAGCTCCAACTTCCTAAGAAGTAGGAGCCACTTTAACCACATCTCCCGTGGCTTCGGTCTCTAGGGTTTCAACCCCTTCAACATCCACCGTTTCAGCGGCAACATTCACGCTTTGGGTCTTGCTTGCAGAATCATCTTCTGGGGAAACATCGTCTGGAAAAACAGCAGGGGTAGAAATAGTCTTCAAACCCAAGCATCTCAAAAGAACAGGGACATCATGATACAGGGAAGAGCCTTCAGGAACCATCGCAGTGGCTAAGGCACTCGTCCAACCCTTTACAAAGAGCTTGTCTCGCAGCACTAGAACCTCCTCCTTGTACGCCGCCCCAGCTTCATCCCAGCCTTGTTGCCAGTGCTTGGCCTCCAGCGCAGTACGTTCGGCAGCCATCACGGCAATAACGGCCTCCAGTTCGGCCACCTTCCCCTCGAGTTGAGCCTGTGTCCCAATGGCAGCCTCCTTTGATTGTTCAGCAGAAACGACAATCTTGTTCAAACGAAAGGCTTCCCTCTCAGTGGTTCGGCGTCCTTTCTTCTCTGACTCCAAGTTTACCGTCAATCTCTCTATGTTCATTGCAGCCTCCAGCACAGCCCTTTCCAGCTCTTCAGCACGAGTAATGGACAGGTGCATTCTCTGGATACACTGCAAAGGACGACAAAGTTCTTAGAAAAAAAGAAGACAGCAACGCAACAGCAAAGTTAAGTAAAGCGAAGAAAACACTTACAGCAGTCATCATTTGAAGGGTCCCCTTCAAGATAGGAATGTCACGAGGCCCATTATGGTCGGCCATATCAACCGGCAACAACAAAAACTTGGTCAAATCAAAGGCAAAATCTTGTGAAGCAACAACTGAATCAGAGGTGGAAATGGGCCTGCCCTCATGCGATATTGGCAGCTCCCATTTCTCAAAAGCATCATCCTCAACAGGATCCTGAGAAGCTTCCCCCACCACTGCTTTGCCAACCTCCCTTCTTCTCTTTTTTGCTCGTGCAGCGACTGAAGTTGAGGGCTCGGCAGCAGTCACAGGGGTCTCAGAAGCTCCAACTTCCATCTTTACCTCTATGAGGCTCTTCACCTCGGTCTTCTCCAGAGGGGTTTACAAAGAACCGAAGGCACCGAAGGCTCCGAAGGCCTCGGCCTCTAAATCCACCAACACCCTTCTCTTCACCATAGACCCGCTTCCTGCGAAACTGGGGGTAGGGGAGGGCGCTCTCTCAGAAAATGCATCTTGACTACTGCGACGGCTCGAGATCAAAGGGGTGAGAGACGTGTCAGTCTCGGTATCAGAGTCCAGAAGGGTAGCAGTGAGCCTTGCCTTCTTTAGAATAACGGAACGGTAAGTTGACTGGTAGTCCAATAACTCAGGTGCCGATCTCTTTTTATACCTCAAGCCAACTTTGATGGCTTCAGCATTCTCTCGGTTCGGCCTTCGTTGGAAACGAGAGGACTCTGCAAAAAGAAAGTAACCCATCAGAGCAATATTCAAAAGAGAGTAAGAAACACCAAAGGCATTAGAAGGAGAGGCCCGGACCTGGGTAGCCGTCTTTTTGTGGCATCCGTTCAGACTGAAACACGGTTCCGGCGGGGAACTCCCAATTTCCACCAACTTGTAGGAAATCGTCATTGTGTTTATCCGAATCAGGTAGTCCAGTAACTAAGTGACAATCAGCCGAGCGAACACGCAGGTAATATGTACTATGGTCTTTGTTATGAGAAAGGGTGTAACATCCCAAGATATCCCATATGTCAAGGTTCAGGCCCAGTCGTCTATTGAGGGCAGATACGCCGCAAACAACACAGAAAAGGTTCAGAGATACTTGCATTGGGGTTAACTGGACTTAATGCAGAAAACGGCGCACTAACGGGTCAAGAGGAAACTGAACCCCTCCCTCGACTATTGTTGCGATGGGAAAGGCAACGGTGTTCCTCGTACCCATACGTTTGGCGTCTACTTTCACCAGTGAAAGGGTAACGTCATGGGGAATATTGTAATCCAGACGAAACATAGCCATGGCCTCTGGGGTATCAACCAAGGAACGGAACTTCCTCATTCGACCAACCTAATGGGACAGAAGTAGGATTCAGATAACAGAGTATGAGACACGGATAGCAAGTGGGCCAAACAAGATGATTAAAACAGAAAAAGGAAAGAGAAGAAGAGTCATGAGACGACTTACAGAGATCATAATAGGGGTAGCGAAGCAAGATCAGCGGCGAAGAAGCCCAAGCGGAGCACCAACGAGATCGGTCCAGAGGAATGGGAAGAAGCTCTATCTCTCTCTTTGGAACTCACTAGAGGAATGAGAAAAGTAAATCAAGGGATTTGAATTGATAGCCTGAGCATTTATTACACCAGTCGGCGTGCAGGTACACGAATCACGACCTTCGGTATGGAGTCGACGCATTATCTCTGCACACCTATCACACGTCGCCACGTGTTACATGAAAGGACGCATGCGGGAATTGTGTGTCAGGATTGAACTGCCGCCAAGGCCGAACTGGGAGAGAACCAAAACGACGCGACGCTTGGAAAGCCAAACAATAGCTCCCTCCAAGGGGAACCTTAGCGCGAGCTAGGGGGCAAATGAAGGGGCTAAATGTGAAATGGGTCAGGTCTAAGCCTTGGGCCGACCCAATCCGACAAAGTCCGAATCCAAGTGGGTCAGATGAGTATATGGACAAACCAGTTGAGCCCAACTTCATGATCAACAGTCCACCCAAGTCCTCAAGCACTTGGGCCCAACCCGCAGTGGAAAGGCTAGCCCAGCCATAGTGCTGGTCTGGGCCGAGCTGCGAAACGGAATTTATGGGCGGAATAGATAATAGGCCAGCCCATCTCCATGAATGATCCTGAAAAAGACCAAGCCGAGGCACATCAGTACCGAACTGAAGTACATGAGTACCGAGCTGGAGAAACCTCACAAAGAAACGTGGGAGCTGTGAGTGCAAGCATGTGCAGGTTGCCACCTTAGCTGGTCCCCCACACCTAGAATCACGGAAGTTGTTGAACCAAAGGAATGTGATTTGTTATCAGCATGCCTACAATGAGTATATGCAATCAATGACAACTACCAGGTGGTCCCCCACCTGGAGCAATGCTGAAAGGACACCTGGCAGTATCCACATTCCATGAAACCATCTTGAGAAGCAAGTAAGGAATACTATATATATTTTATAAACTTCACATTGAAGGTAACGGAATTGGACTGAACTAAGGAGAACTGTTCTAATCACACTTAACATACATTCCTTCTCCGATCACTGATTCCCACGCCGGAGGGGTTATCCGGCCAACCCCGGCCGGGCAGCTCTAACGGTGCTTCTTGTGGCAGGAGTCCCGGTCCCTGGATAGTCCAACTGAGTGCGGAGCCCCGATCCACTTTCATCTAGTGCGGAATCCGGTACGCACACTTTTGAAGGTGTATTAATTTATAACAAGAGTTCACTTAAAGTAATAATAATAATAGTAATGAAGCAATTGAATAAAGAACAGAATTACACGCAATCAAGCAAGATAGCGAAACATTGACAGCAGTTGTAAATTAAAGAATAAATAGTTCCACCAACTCTCCAAGAAACAATTACACTACTTAGAAAACCAAGCAAAAACACAATAAATATCAATGTAGAATAGTAGTAGCAGTAATAGTAGTAGTAGTAGTGCAGATCAGAAGAAAGATGGCATGACCCAGATAGGAGGACAAATACGGCTAAAAGATTCGCCTTCATAGAAAGGCATTCGGCTTCCATCTTCCTAGTTGTAGATACCCATGTCTTTCCCTCTTCCTCGCTTGAACGACCAGTACTGTTCGGCATAATCGTCGGTGTAATAGATGTAATTAGCCTTAATGCCGGGAAATTTAGAGGTGACCTCAATAGAAATAGAAGCACTGTGACCCAAAAACAGAGAATGATTGTCCTCTAAGCTCCTCATCTTTTTCCATCTCCCATTGCTTGTATTGTGTCGAAATACTAGAAACTCACAAGTCCCGGAATTATCATAATCATCATCATCATGATCAAGTTTATCAGCATCAATGCATATCCATCTCGTAGGACAATGAGTAGTGCCCCCCCCAGCGGATTCGACTATGTATGGTCGCTTGTAGACAACTAATTGAATAGGTATTCGTATTCCTCCAACATAGCGTGCCACAGTTGGATTAGAGCCACCAACATCACATTCATAAACACGGCAACAAGCATCGACCCCATAAAATTTGCCATTCTAATAAGTAACATCACAGAAGGCACCATTGCGTGCTTCAATTGTGGTCCAAGTCTTATCTCCAACTCTCCAAAAACCCAGGTATCCAACGCCATAGATAACCATGATTACAAAGTGGTTGTTGTCTTTGTCTTTGTGAGAAGGAGAAGGACTTGAAGACTGTAAAACCCAAGTTGTGTGTAGGATTATTTTATTGGATAGAGTAGTAATTAAATTAATTTATATGGGTCATTTATTAATATCAAAGAATTAGTTATGAGATGGCATTATATTTTCTATTACTTAGATGGGTAATTTTGTAACTTTGAGAAATTAGGTTAATAAGCCCACCTATTAAGTCTTGGGAAACAAACAAAATAGAGGTTGGGAATTGCTCCATAGGCGGCTAGGGTTTGAGAAAGTAAAAGAAAAATTAAAGAAAACAAAACAAAACCAAAGTGAAGAAGAAGGATTCATAGAGTGGTGATTTTTCTTTATTCATCACTTAAGGTAAGATTTATTTTATTGTATTCTTATCTATGATTTTGGTGTTAATATATCAATAGATGATTTTATGGGCATATATGATTAAATAGATATATTGATGTAGTCTATGTTGGGGGTCTCGATTTTGCTCAATTTTAGAGTGTATTTTGCATTCTGTTTGGGTGGTTCATATTTTGAGATTGATATGTGATGGGTTAAGTTTAATGGTGGTGTATTTGTGGGATACAAGATTGACTTCAAGCAATTACAAATTTTTACATGTATATAAACAATAATAGAATAATATGGGTTGAGAATTTCCGAAGCCGTGATGGCTTTGTTTTGATGCCAAATTGTGGGAGTTCCTAATAGGCAATTGGGTTAATTTATTCTATTGTTGTTACAAGAAGAGAAAGATTGGTGCACATAATAATTGTTTATGCGGTGTAATATTTTATTAGGTTTGTGAGATTGAGGTGGATCTTGGTAATTTGAGATTAACTTGGGAAATATTATTTAGTTGTTTGAGGTAAGTAACCCTCTATCACTGTTGGTTCATTTTTTTTATTCCTATCGAATCGTTTAAAATCATAAATATTTATTTATAGCCTTCATGTTCTCTTAAAATAAAATATGGGTCAAGTATAAAACAACATCGAATATTATTATGAAAATTATTTGAATATTTGGTGAAACTATTCTAAAAATTGTACTAAACGTTTATTCTAAAAATATCGAATGCCTTATTTAAAAGTTGTGTATTGTTTGAATTTTGAGCATCACTCTAGTCTGACTATGATTTGGACCCTAGCCAATGGGGGTTATTTATTGGCACAGAAACTAGTTTCTTTTGGGGCTTTACCACCGGCCTATGTGTGGTTCTAGGCCTTGTCACGGGCTAAGTGACCATAGTCATTAAGACTTAGGTTTTGTGAATCAAATCATTGAACCATCTGAATGTCGAACCATCGATTTGAATAACGAATTACTTTGAATTATCTTGTTGGCTTTTCATTTAAAATGTATTGTACATTGTTTATTTTTAGCTATAAAACCACCTTAGAAATAATTGTTCATTTATTGACACTACGCCAAAACAAGGCATTAACGGCGGTTTTTTTAACGGCGGTAACGAAAACCGTTGTTAAAGGTACTATTAACGGCGGTAACGAAAACCGTCGTTAAAGGTATCATTAACGGCGGTTTTGTTACCGCCGTTAATGCCCACTTTTAACGGCGGTAACAAAACCGCCGCTAATGCCCAATCATTACCGCCGTTAATGATGGCGGTCTTTGCCGACGAAACTCCGGCATGCTCCGGCGAGCTCCGGCGAAACCATCTACAATAAAGTAAAAGTAATGTTTAAATATTTATTTAGGGAATATATTTCATGAAGAGTGGTTATGGTAGAGTGGTTAGTGTGGGTGGATGAGAGGTTGAGGGTTCAAGACTTGGGGAGTGCAAGAAGAAAGAATTACTTTTTGAAAAAATTGAACCTATTTACGGCGGTAAAAAACCGCCGTTTTTTGTCCTATGTTACCGCCGTTTTTGGTCGACTTTTAACGACGGTAATTTACCTTTTTACGACGGTTGTACTTTTTCCGACATGCGCATAAACGGCGGTAACAAAACCGCCGTTAATATCGCCGTTAAAGGCTTTAACAGCGGTTTTACAGCCTTTAACGGCGGTAAAAAACCGCCGCTAAAGCCCAATTTTGGCGTAGTGTGATTTGTATCAAAAATTATATTTATTGTTTATCGATTTATTTATTTATTTTTATATACTTGATCCAGCTAGCAGTGATGGTTGGTTATTTACTGAGCTATCTAGCTTACCCTTATTTTTTTTCAGATTCTGAAGAGTAGAGCTGCTCTTGATTTTTTTACATGTGGGAGTGCCGAGAGTAGGACCATGATTTAAGTACTTGGATTATTGTTTTGTTAGTGGATTAAATTAGTGGACTTTGTGGACATTTTCATATAAGAACTATTTATTTTTATGGATTTTAGCATTATGATAATTAAGGATTTAATTTGAGTATTTTACATTGTAGGTTATGTGATTGGACTCTTAACCTTGCATGCTCACTTAAATGAGTGTGCGGCGTTGTCATGGAACTTGGGGCGTGACAAGGACAAGACTGCCTTCTGTATGCCAATCAAATTGCTTATTAGGCCATCAGGGTCGTAATACTTCAAAGTAGTCACAGGAGGAAGACCAATTTGAACTCGGGAAAAAGGATGAAGTAGATTGAGCTGGCCATCTTGGGAGATAGTAACAAACCATCCAAGCGACTCCATGCATCTCTTTCCGTTTGCTTCTGGTAGCCTCATCACTTTGCAAATCATGCTGCCCTTCCTCAGACTAACAAAACGGCGCTCTTCTTCTTCTTCTTCTTGGGCGAGCATAAGCCATGGAATTTGATGAGACCAACCTCTTTCATTAAAATTCTCCTTCACTGCCGCCACCTGCCAACTTTTGCAAACTCCACCGAAAGCAACGTAATCTTCCACCACATCGATTCGTTTAGCGATGAGGACCAGAACATCTGATATGAGTTCTGCCCACTTCCGCATCTATCTAAATCAATTAAAACACAAACACAAACACAAAAAGAAAACAAAGACTACCCTTTTCCAGAGTTTGGGGTTATGATGGTGCCCTGATTTATAACTACTACAACCCACGCGCATATTTTAGAGAAGTTACTAAAAAATTACTTACTTAAATAGTTTGGTTTTAAAATATTATTAAAACAATATGTTTCTAAACGAGTCAGGATCGAGGAGCAATTAATTACCATTGGATTAGAAAGGGCTCCTATTTTATACGGTAAACTACCAATAGGTCGTAATAGTTGAACTTAATTTCCATCAAATCCTATTGAAAATAAGTTTTGATAAAATTGTCGTTAAAAATAATTTTTTCGTGACAATTTTTTATATATGTCGCTAAAAATTGACAATTAGTGACTTTTTTTGTCATGATTTTTATAAATTGTAGCTAAAACTTACAATTAGTGATTTTTTTTATGACAAATTTTTTCCATAGGACCTATTGGACAATAAGTCTACTTATTAGACTTATACATAAGTACCCATATTTTATATACCTCTCTTAACATTACCCCCGAATCCAAATCCTTCGCCTAATAAGAAAAGGATACACGTACACTTATGGATTCATACACTCATGTTTGAAGAAAATACACTTCATCTTACATTTTGGGTAAGAATGGGACTCTTAAGGAGATTAAACCTAACTCAATTAGGAAGAAGAATTTTAGATAAGGAATACTTGCTAAGCAAGTAGAGTCCTAGATGGAAAATGAAACCTAGGATGAGGCATGACACTCACACCCCATGGGTTGAGGTACACATTATTAGCTTTAGTATTTACGCTATTGAGTATTCTAGAGAGAGAAAGTTGTTGACTTTAGTATCGGTTTGTCTAGCAAATTATCAGCAAATTCATTTAGAAGATTAACTTTGTTCTCCAATTTTTACGAGAAGATCTTATTGATAGTGTGTGGTCAAGTTAGATTTTAGTACACACACATGATGCTTTAAGTCCTCTTTTATTAATAATTCATGAGTTGTATAGATGAAAAGATAATGTTGTCATTTTTTTTTTTACTAAAATGTATATTTATTTTTATTTATTTCAATATTAATTTTAATCGTTTTAATCATATTAAAAGATATATTAATGTAAACTAACTGTTTTTTTTTTTGTCAAACCTCGAGAATTGAATGTCATTTACCAAAAAAAATTAGAGAGAGAGAGAGAGAACAGTACACACAGCAGCAGCATGACTCAGGAAGAATGCCTTTTTAGTTAGTGGACATGAACAGAGGCTTGGCAGCTCTGTTTCCCAACCCTGCTCTTCTTCTTGTGAGAGAGGGATACAATCATCACCACCAGTCAATCATTTTTTCCTCTCTCAATAAGGCTTTTTTTTTTTTTTCCTTCCTCTCTACAGTCAACACCTCTCTTCTTCTGTTTATTATACTTCACAGGTATATATTGGTCATGTTAGTGATCCTTCTCCCTTTTTACCCATCTACTTTTTGGATTCTTTGAGACTTCTAACTACCCTTTTGGTCACATCTGACTGTTCTTGAAGAGTAGTATGCTTTGGCTTCTCTGTCTATGAAGCACAGTACTTCAAAAATGGTATCGTACGAGTATTGGATATTTATTGGGTGCAGATATGTGTATCGGTACGGTGATACGTGTACCGGATATGCCGAATACATACCTGGTATGGCAAATACATTTGGATACATTGTGGGTACGGCATGGGTATGGCAAATACATTTGGATACATTGTGGGTACGGCATGGGTATGCCGTGGGTATGGCAGTAGTTCGGTGAGTTTTTTTTTTTGCAACTACTAGAATTTATTATAGCCTTTATTATTCTTTTTTCAATCTTGAAAGTATCAAATAATTTATTTCCAACACCCTTTACTCATGAGTTATGATTTTGCTTTCTTTTGCATCCTGTTTTAGACAATCAAAAAATAAAAATAAAAATAAAGAATTATATAACTTTTTAGATAAGTTGTTCTCTTTTTAGTTTTGATATTGAAATTTTGATTTGTATGTTGGATGTTTAGTTTAAAAAAAAAAAAAAAATTTGACGTACCCTAGCCGTATCCGTATCCTACTTTTTAAAAAATTTACTGTACCCATTCCCCGTAGCCGTACCTGCACCCGTGCTTCAATTGCCACTTATAGTTTCAGATGAAGACTTTGAGCTCAAGAGATTGGAAGATATGATTAGCTCTACTTGCAGTTTGTTGGGTTTTTCTTTGGATTCACTTCTCTGAGATCTAATGGGGTACGGTATGTCCATTTTCACAAGCATTTGTGCTTAATTTCTTTCTTTTTCATTTTTTTTTTTTTTGGCTTGGAATCCAAGAGTGTTTATGAAGATGTTGTTTTTAATGATTTTGCTTCTTTATTACTCTTAACAGACAGACTAATACCCATTTTGGGCTTTCATTGATACCTTAAGGTTGTTTGTTAGTTGAAGGGTTTCAGTTTCATGTTGAATTATTAATTGTAGGGTCCATAAATTTGCTATTATCTAAATATAAAAATCTTTTGAACTGGTGCTTCACGAATAAAAAATTTTAAGGAAAGTTGGGCTTTCAAGTTTACTAGTTTGCTTGTGGACATTTTTTTCGCCAATTCAATTCAAGCACATGGGTATGGTTTTTTGTATGTTCTTTTAATTGGGTGTTATTCTCTGAGATCTTGCTTTTGTGTATAATTTGTGGATTTTTATTTGCTCATCTCAACAGTTAAAGTCATAGAGAGTTGTCTTGAGAGTTTAGTTTGATGATAAAATAAGCATTTAAATGTACACATTATTTGGTAAAGATGAAGTCCTTTCACCTAGTAGAAGTTGTGATGGTTTAGCATTGTAGATGGCTTTTGCAATGGCATATAATATAACATAAGTTGATTTTCATTTTTATTATTTTTTTATTTTTTATTATCAACCATTTCAATCAAAATCCCATCGAAAATTTGCATTTGAAATCTTTGATTCTTGGTTTTCTGAGAAACCAATTTATGTGCTATACCAAGAATTTCGGTACAAGATCATTATTTAGGAAATCATTTTTCAATTCTAATTCTCAGTTTAATTCTGATTTAGAGTTCAATTTTTTTTTTTTTTTTTTTATTTTATTTATTGTAGAAGATTGCTAGCATGTTGTTTTTCAATTCTCTCTAGGTACTTATCTCTGTGTTTGTGCTTTCTCTATTTTCGATAGATTGTAGATCTGTTAACGTGACCGGGCATGGAATTGGGATTCTTTAAATATTGCAAATTGGATGGTAGCCCAAAAACTAAACTTCCATCAACTTGGTGTCATTCAAAAGTTGAAAAGAAAAACTTTACAGAGATTAACTTTCATCACAATTGCAGTTCATCTTGGAAAAGCATTCCACCCCGGACTCTTTGCTAGAAGAGAATCAAGTGCTAAAGCGCAATTATCAAAGCTCCAGAGAAGTGAGGAAGATGAAGAAGATTGGAGCTGAGGAGGATAGGAGAAAAATTGAATTAACAGAAAGCAATGCCATCGCTTTCTCATTAGGAATTGTCGACTCTTTGTGTAGCTCTGATGAAGATAGCTCGCTAAATTCAAACTTATGTACACCTTTTGTTCCCACGGACAACATAGAACCGTGCTCTAGATCCAGTAGTACAAAAGCACGTTTCAGTCCTATCAGAAGCTTGATTAATCCATTCACAAAATCCAAGTCTCAGCGAAGTCCTTTGGGTCCTGCAAGTGGCTCTCGTGGGCTTCCACTATCTCGGATGTCAAGCCTCAGGAGGACAAACACGTTGCGGAAATCTTCATCGAATGATTTCTCAAACACTATGCATAGTCCTGATTTTGGTTCTCAGTTTGTAAAAAGAGATCTCTGTAAAAATTCAGCCGTTTCAGGTTCACCAGGTCACTTGCACGGATGCCTCAAGTTGGAAACTAAGCACGGGGTGCCATTTTTTGAGTTCTCGTTGAATTTCACAGAAGACATTTTTATGGCCCAGACATGGAAAACAGAAGACGCTTTAAATTTGGTGTACACTTTTCACAACAGAAGAAAGAGTAATGCTGGCGGATGGGGATTGAAAAATTGGAACAAAGAGTACTCTATGGTGGGACAAATGAAGGTTTCATGTTATTTATGTACAGAGCTAAAAGATGTTGGGGCTTTCGACAACTCTATGGTGACTGAGTTTGTATTGTACGATGTTGTGCACGGTGTTGTTAGACCTCCCAAGAGTTCTAATCAAAGCCCAGCACGTGGAACTTGTGAGTTGGATGATGTGCCAGATCAATCGAGGCTCAAACTTCAACCAAAACATGTTGTGGACAATACCCATTTTGATTCGTCAACTCCAAAACCTTGGGCACCTAAAGATTTGCATCCAAGCCTTGAAATAGCGGCCATTGTCATACAAGTCCCATTTGGAAGAGTGATCAAAAACATCCAAATTTGCTTGACCTCTCTTCGTACCTTGCATCAACTGCCAATTATTGAAAAATGAGGTTAAGAGATGAAAACAGAACTTCTAGTCAAGCAAGGAATAAAGACTCGCATCACATGTTATATATGATTTGCTTTCATGATGTTCCAAATGAAATGTCTAATGAGCTGCATTTAATCACCACATACACTGCAATTCGAGAAGATATTAATCATCAAAATTCATAGCCAGTATGGCCAACAAACCTTTTCCCAGCTCGGAAGGATTAATTTGGCAAGTCAATATAGTAATATATTTATAATAAAAAATAAAATAAAAAAAAATCACTATGATCATTAATGATACCCAAATTTTACAAAAATAGACCAGGGTATGAACCAGAAAGGTTTTGTTAATTTGAGAGACTAGATAAACATGCTTAAATGCCTAGTTTTATATAATTCTACAGCAACTAGTGACAAATAGCTCATAAAACATACACACATATATGAACACGTTCATCATTCTCACCTGTACAAGCTTTTTGCACACGCTAAAGCTCAAGCCTTCTTCAACTCTCTCATTGCTGTACATCCTACTGCCAAACTGTGCTCTTGACATGGAACCATCTGATTGAGAAGCATTATGGTTAATTCCAATTTCAAACTTGACATGAACGTAGCCATCAGAGGAGCTCGATCTCCATGTTGCCCATCTTTGATCATTCCTTGCCTGACTTCCATTATCTGAGTAAACCCGCAACGTTACAAAACCACCTCCATTGTTTCCATTCAAAAGATTTCCAACCATATGCAAAATCACCTGAAAAACCCTTCTCTCATCACCCATAACATGATCAGGCAAAGACTTCTCAATGTCAATTTCAAATCCATATCCCCTAAAAACACACAAGCACTTGGCAAGGCAAGCGGCTTCCTTTATCATTGAATGTAGCCCAAAAGACCTCATTTCTAATAGGAACCTTCCATTATCTTTAATTGACATGTCCATTACGTCGTTTATCAAGGTTGAGAGGACATTGCTCGTCTTAACCATCGCATCAACAAGAATCCGTTGCTGGCCACTCAAATTCTCGTCCTGCATCATCAAAAGTAAACCCAAAATTGAGTGCATAGGTCTCCTCATACCATGACTCATTACCTTTTGAAACGAGTTCCTAGCCTGGCTTGCCATCATTATATCCTGTTTTGCCTGTTGCAAGGCTCGATTTTGCTCAACCAGTTGCTCTCTCATAAGCTGGGATTCTTCAAGTACTGCAGCGTGGGAGACAGCCACAGCAACCTGATCGGCAACCACCTGCACAATCTCGAGTTCTTGATTGCTCCACGATCTATCTTGCTCACCAGGAAGAACCAAAACTAATATAGCATAACAAGTCTGAACCATCTCAGGAGTCCCACCTTTGAAGTTAGATACCCTCAACATTGGCATCCTAATAGCAGCCACAGCTCCAGGCTCCACGGACCCTCCACGGCTTGCAGAAGCAAGTGCCGAGTCAGGTCCAAGTATCTTCACTCTTTCACTCTCTTTGACCGCTCTAACATCGGGGTCACTAATTGGGATAGAGACATTATACATGTTTGAAGCATTCCTCCTATTCAATTCATGGGTCAGGTTCATCTCTGTTTTAATCTCATTAGGCATCCAAACAGCACAATTCAGCAAATCTAGTGTCTTAGATAGCTCGACCAGAGTTGTGTACAAAATCGTATGGCGATCGAGTGACTTGCGGATCTCTTGGGTAAGCATCCGAACATGCCATCCGGCTTCTTTCTGCTTCTTTATGATTCTAACTTCTCGACCAAGATCCCAAGCTTTCTTCCTCAACATGAATTCTCTCAATTTCACTTTTAGAAGCAAAGGGATGAGAGTGATGAGTGTTATAGCAGTGGCAAAAGAGACAAGAGCGGTGAGGAATTTGAAAATGGTGAGGGCTAGCATTAGCTGAAATGGGTGCGGACCATAAGCCCAACCATTGAGCAAATGGGTCATCCCACAGAGAACAATGAACGCAATGAATTGAAAGAGTACCCATTTGAATGGGACGTTTGAGCAACTAACAAAGTAAAGAAGCTCAACTGGGATAGAGAAATAGGCCACTGCAATCAAGAAATCACTCACTTTTTGACATGTTAAAATGTTTTCAGTGCTCCAAAACCCTTCCTCGTTGCAATCGCATCGGGGGAAACCATTATCAGCAGCAGAAATAGAAAAGAGGAACGACGAAATCAACAGCCCATATGCTAAAGTCTTTAACATTTCATCCAATGGATAAATTCTTCAATCCATTTATGGATAATTTTGATGGGTTTTATTATACTCCAAGATTGGTCAAGGTTTTTGATTCAGAACACACTCAAATCAAAATCAACCTCAGAATATAAAACTCCCAATACTCATCTCCTGTACAACAAAAATTCAACAAAATCAAAATCCTAACTTAAACAAGAGAATAAAAAAGAAGTTAGAAGCAGGCAACCCATTTGCTATACATATATGCACACACATTTTGCAAGACACCCATTTGCAATAATTTACTGGTTTTCCATAACCAATTTCAGGCCAAATAAGATCTGGCATACCAACCAGATCAAGATAACAAAAATAAACTTTTATTTTAGTATCAAAATTTCAAAGTGATCATTTCATTACCTGTGTGTTTTCCGTGGGTTGAATAAACAACAAAGACGAATATAACACAAAATTTCCTCAACAACAAATTACCAAAATCCCAAATTATCAACACTTAATAAACAAACATATATAAGAAAAACCCATAAAATTAAACACAAAAAAAAAAAAAAATGAAAACCCACCAACCCTCAGACTTGAACAAAGCCAAAAAGGACAAAGACCACAAATGCAGGCAAAAGTATGAACTGTACCTGAAGAAACCACCGATCAGAAACCAAAAAATAGAACCCAGAATTTGAACCAGCATCAAATTCACCTTCTCATCCAAATCTATCAAATACCCACAACACCAAATCATTCACCGTCCATTTATATCAATCAACCACCACAACCCACCTCCTCCACCACCGGCGCCGCCACCAACCCACAGTTCAACAGCAAAACCCAGGAAAAAAAACCCGGTTTTTTAAGGAAAACCGGCCACCTGGTGGTTCAGTTTGGCGGTGGTGGAGTGAGGCGAAACCGGGTTGGTTCTTCAGCTGTTATTGCGTGTGTATGACTATATAAATATAAATACATACAAAAATTCTCTGTACACGAGACGAAAACTCTCTGAATACTTCGAATGTGTACTCAAATTTCAAACACAAAGTCTGAGAGAGAGAATGGTGGAGAGAGTGTGTACTTATAGAGAGAGAGAAGGAGGGAGAGATGGGTTCGCCCGCGCCGTTGTTTTGATAAAGAGCAGAATTGAGGAGAGAGAGAGACAGAGAGAGAGAGATGGAAAAGGACAGTGGGACCCGGTTCATTACATGAAGAGAACTTAGACGCACTTTTGCTCAATACGTCCCCTTCAACCCCCCCAAATAAAAGAAGGGAGGTGTTTTTCTCTTTGGTTCTCTCTCTCTCTCCATATATTTATATTTTTTTTTGGTTGCTCACCCTTTTCTATATATATGTATATATTTATATTTATAAATTATATTAATAGTCTCTGTAATTTAAAATAAACAATGTTATAGATCACTAATTTATTATTCTTAATTCCACTATTAGTGAAGTGACAATTTTTTTTTAAAAAAACAAGACATAAACACACTATGACAGTGGGTGGGACCTACTGCCACATTATTAGAGCCACCACTAATTAGGGTCTAAAACATTTCTCATTTAAAATTTATATTATTTTAATTTTTAATTTTTAATTATGGCACATTTGATTTTAAATTTTATTTCAAATAAAGATAATTAAAAATATCATTATTCAATTTTAAGGGCAAAGTTGTCAATTTGATAAAATATAAACCCAATAAATAAATAAATATATAAAAATTAAAGCCATTGTAGAATGGATATGCATTTTACTATCCAAGCAATTGAGTAGAAGTCTACTCAACTTAAGCACTCTTTATTTTAACTTATATTAGAAGTTGGCCACATGTCATGACTGTGTCTTATTTGTTATATACTTAGATATAATTTCTTAAAATGATTTAAAAATTAATATAGAGAATAAATAAAAATAGAAAGAGAGAGTATGAGAATCATGAATTTGGTTAATGACATTATGTAATTTTTTAAATAATTTATTTTATTTTATGGCTTAATAGTGGACACATAGTATCGATATGCATTCACTAGTATATTACCTTAATTTTATCTTGCCCTTAATCAATTCATTTTTAGCTACATCCTACATGAATTCAATAATTCAATCATTTCTTTCCTTTATCACTTTGGCCTATAAACAATATTTGCAACAACTATTTTACTTTTTTGGTTTCATTGCTAACTTAAGTTGACTTTAAAATCGTCAAACAAAGTGTTCAACAAGTATGTTATTTGAGTACGGATACACAAATTCATGTACAAAAATATGTAATTAAGATTTAATTTTTATATTGGAAAGTCCACATCTTGATTGAATTAGAATTTATGTATTAAATCTATGAATATTTTTCTATATACTATATGTATGAATAAGATTAAATGATGATAACTAAATAAATAAGTAAATAAAAGTCTTGAGAGAGAGAGAGAGAGAAAGAGTCCACATCTTGATTGAATCAGAACCTATGAAGCACGGATACTTCAAATAGGGTGACGTATCCGTATCGTATCCGTATCGGATACCGATACTCCTTGGATACTCGCGGATATGTATCGGATACTTATTGAAAGTATCGGATACTTCTTAATTAATTTTTCATTAATTTTAGAGTATCGGATACTTAATTTTGAAGTATCGGATGCTCCAAGTCATGTTTACTTGTTTTATGAAATTAGAATTGTAACATTTATTGCATAGTAATAGAATGTAATATAATTGCAAGTATAAATATACGAATTTTTTTTAATACT